CGACAGAGTGGACAAGAGAAAGAGAGAGAGACATTACTTACAGTCGATAAGTTCGTTAACTACATTAATAATAGACACGCAATCGATTCGCTTTATATAAAATGAATGAAACTTTATAATTGCCTTATATTCGCGAAATTGACGTTACGATATCTATCACATAATCAATAATTCTGCCATAATCGTCCTAAAATAATATCAAATTCGTCTACCATGAGAGAATTAACGAAAATTCTTCGAGTTTGTTTTCAAATCTGTAGTTTAATTATCGGTCTCACTCTTTTAATCCTCTCAATCACAATATTTTATAACACTTATGCTAATCTTTTATTTATTTAATTTTCGAACAATACAACAATGAAAATTTTTTATCTTTTCTTATCTAATTATTATTATTATTTCTTTTTCTTTTTTTTTTTGCGTAAAAATCATCCCTTTTTCATAGAGACAACTGGAGTCCCTTGTATATCCTCGTCGTAATTGTAATAACGTAGGGAAATACTTGCCTATTTTATAGTTTCTAAGCCGTACTACTAATACTACTACTACTACTACTACTACTTCTACTAAATCATATTCTAATTAATAAAAGAAAAAATGAAAATAAATAAATAATGACGAAAAGACGACGAAAATAAAGAAGAAGAAAATGAAAAGATAACGATTATCGCGTGCACCGCGTACTCTTCTTCTGTGCACTACGATTTACTCGGAGAAATATACATATACAAACACAAAGAGAGATATAAATAGCATACATAGATACAAGGTGTCCCAAAAGTCAAGAATTTACCAAAACAAAATGAACAGGTGGAGTCATTTTTAAAAAACAAAAATATCTCACTAATAATTATTCGATTTATCGTGTGGCTTTTAAATGTATTCAAACTGGTGACAAATGCTTTCAATGATTTTCTTTAAAAAAAAAAAAAATTTATTAATTAATAAAGTAAAAGAGTTTATCTGACTATGATTAAAACTCTAAATATCTCTTTATCGTTCCAATAGCTACAATCAAAAGTAAGTTTTATTTATGAATACGATCTTTAAAGTTTTAGAATATTTTTAATTAAACTGTTTAAACAAAATTTTTTTTTTCAGTACACACCAATTGATTCTTATCCTTCAATTTTTTTGTTAAATACGAATAAATAGTCATGAATTATTACAAATATTGTAATAAATTTGAAAACAATGTGGAATCGGATAACTATGCATAACTTAAGTGAATATTTTCTTGGAAATGACTTTTCCTATCACCTTTCAATTAATCCACGACTCTTGGGACACCCGGCACAGTATACACACTTGTATACAACGCGTATACGCGTATAAAAGAAAATGAAAATAAAAAATATGCAAATAAATCCCGTCGAACGATATCGAAACGTTTCCACCCAGCTTAGCATTAAGAAGAAGAAGGATGTTTGTGTGGTAGACAAAAAAATAATAAATGAGAAAAAAGAAAGGGGAAGAGAGGGAGATGTTGATGATCGATCGATCGGTTTAAATAAATCAATTTTACGCAATACATAATCGACCGTCCGAACGAAGAAAAGATTTTGTAAATGCGGTTGGTCAATGTCATTTAATTTATATGAGGGCAAAGTGTGATGATACAAAATATAAAGAAAGAAAATAAGAAATAGAGAGGAGAAGAGGAGAAGGTGGGCGTGAGATGAAAAAAAAAAAAAAAAAAAAAAAAAAAAAAAAAAAAAAATAAACAATATAAAAGTCATCGAGCTTTCGACGATCGATATTAATGTAAATCAATTATTTACCGAAGATAATTATCGTTACCGTTCGTCTACAGATTTTTAGGCTTGCTAAGCAGGTGCGAACATTATGATAGCGATTAATCATCTTTCTTGACCGCGAACCAAAGTAAAAAATGGTTGTACGGTGTAATGTAGATTATATGAATTAATACTATTTAACGATTAATTCAAATAAGTGCTAAAAATGAAAGAATATATAAGTGGCAATTTCGATAAAAAAAAAAAAAAAAAGAAATATTTACTGTCTTGAATATATTTATTAAAAGCCCCCCCATTTTCCAGCCTCCATTATGTATCTCTATATTATACATTTCTCAAAATTAATAACAAATGTAAATGTGATTACACACTCAACGAGCATTTTAGGTTAATATCATACGTGCAATCAACGATTATTATTCCATCGATCTTTTTACAACGACGATTAACTCTTTTACTCAAATTGATTTTATCTTTTGCTTAAAACATTTGAATGAATTTAGTTGAAGTACTTTGTACTAAGGATACAATAAAAATAACCCGATTCAAATGATATTATCTACTCAAATTGTATCTTTATCATTAATCCTTAAAAAATTCAACGTATCAAGTCTAATAGCGTATAGAATTAACTCAGCTACAATTATTACGGTAATATTACAAATGGCATTTTCATAGTAAATTCTTTCCGATAAATATCTTTTGTAAAATTTTACGTACGAATTTAATCGATTATCTTGGAAATGTAGTTTTGTTTACGAATATTACTGACGCGGGAAATACGTTCAAGCTTTTTATATACCGATTATCGATAATTGATTATTTTATCGACGAGATCTACTATATCAAAGAATACTATCAAAGAATATTATATTCTTTGATAGTATTGTACCGTCATCGCGTTAAGTACATACTATCGTCCAATGGTGGTTCCAGTGGTAACAAAAATGATGCTGGGTAGGTAAAAAAGGGGACTTGTGAGTTTCTAAATACTTCACCACAAAAAAGTTGGCATAGAACCGCAATAGCAAAAAAAAATGAAAAAAATGAAAATATTTACTTATTGTTTATAAATTATGAACAATTAACTTATTTCTTTTCACGATCTTATAGGTTGTTACTTTGGAAATCAACTTTAAATATATCCCCTGCAAGTATATACATATACAAACTTAACTTTCATTTTTTTCCAAGTGTGCTTGCGACTTGAATTTGTGGTTGCGCATGTGTATAACATATCTCCCACTCATGACGTCGTCATTTCATAATTATTCAAAGTGTAATAATTATTTTCAACTAATTAACGATATATACAAAATATTTGATATAATAAAATTGAACAATTAGTGTGCAATTAAGAACACTCATTCATTTTTTTACTGTTGTTGCAAACTTTGTTTCTTTGCTTAGAAATAGAAAAAAAAATTTCTATATTTAATTATTAATAACTAATTAAATAATTAAATAATAAAGTGAGCATTTAAGGATTTTGATTGTGCAAATATTGTGCAACTAGGATCACCTTTTAATTTTTTCTGCCGTTAAGGTTCTTTGTCAACGTTCCTACGGTTAAAATATCGTGTTTATAAGTATAATATCGATAAGGCAGGAAGTTTTTATGACCAGCTGGTACCATTTTACACATAGTTGTCAAATTGATTTATACGCGTAGTTGCCACATATTCTGACAATTAAATCCAGCTCCTGTTAGACGTCATTACGTTCATGACTTTTTATAATTTCGACTTGAATTATCAAGTCCGGGTAATTAGTCGTGAGAAATAAAATTCGACAATGTTCTTTTCGAATCATGTGCGAGAAAAAAAGACTATAAATATCAACCTCATTGGTAACGTATTACACGAATGTCCTATATTATAAAAATAGTGTCTTTTTATTAATACAATCTCCGTCAAATAATAAACGAAAACGAACACGATAAGGAAAGTATTTTCGATCCGCAAGATGGAGCACCGTATAAATCAGTTATGCAACTACTTGCAAATAAATAATAATTATTCTGTATACCTACTTTCCTCGAGCTTATTATCCGTCAGAAACGTGTTCAAGATTATTAATTAGTATAAGTAACAGTTTTTTATTTTAAACTTTTTCGAATCTTTTTAAAATATTCTCAATTATCAGAACAAAAATGGTCATAGTTACGGCAAATGACCAATAACAAGATCTCAATTTGGAGTAAAAAAGAAACAAAAAGAAAAAAAAAAAAAACAGAAAAAGAAACGTTAACTAAAGACCAAAAACACCGATCGTTTACGCGCTTAATGTTCTTGAATTAAGGTAAGACGTGTTTACGAAGTAGGAAACTGGGACGACCGACTTACTATGTTAATTTCGTTTAAATGAGGCGATCTCGAAAGAAAACGAAGGATCATTTGTAATTCACATTTTTGCGTAGTTTAATATAAAAACGATGCAATCTCGAAAGAAATTGCAGGATCATTTGTAATTCACATTTTTGCGTAGTTGTATTTAATGTACATGAAGAAGGACTTACTATTAGAGAAATAAATAAAAAAAACAGAAAAGAAGGCGTAATAAAAAATACACGATATTGTATTTGGTTTACGATCATGAGATCTTGTTTCTTCCAACATGACACAGTTATCTCCTGATGCGTATATAATTGCGATGATATGCTCATCCTTTATCATTCTTTCTTATAAATGCAATCCAAACAAACTATCCTTATCGAATTTCTTTTGAGTAGCGTACAGAATAGGTTAACAACGGAGTAACGAGCAAAACAAATTGAGAATAGGGAGAGAATAGTAAGAACTTCATTGTTTGGAGAGATAAACATATTTCGAATAAATTATATAATCAATATTTTTGACCATATGTCGTTTGACCATACGTTCGCGTGAATAAAGAAATAGGAGAACGAAGTAACGTGTCAATGGCGAAAATAATGAAATTTTTCGCGCCCTCCGATCGCAGCATGAGATCACTCGTGGTAGATAGAAGACGCGGGGGGTATCGAAAGGGGTAACGCAACGTCGGTGGATCCAAGGATTACGTCACTGGCGACAGGTGTAACGCGCACGCGCTCGTGCATCTTCGGCGACGTACGTGACAGTGCCGGCTGAGATTTCTAGGGACCACGGTTCGAATATGTTCGTGTTTTGCCTGCACGTTACACGCGTATGAAAAACATAAATATCAAAATAAATAAACGTTCGAAGAAAAATTTCTAAATACATTTAAATATCTCTTCCACGCGGTAAAAAAACAAAAAAAAAGATAAAATTTATTAAACGAAAGTGAAAGAAATGTAGAGAAAAAGAAATTAATTGGAGTAGAAAAAAGATGTGCAAGGTGATGGAAGAATAATAGTAGGGTCGAGGGTAAGCGTAAGGTAGAAGAAGGAAAAGAAGAAGAAGAATAGTAGTGGGGTCTGAGGGGTTGAAGAAGGTGAAACGGGGAGTGCGCACGCTCGTGGGACTCGACCGCCACCTCTAGTTTGGTGCTGAGCCAATCAGAAGGCTTTGACGAACGCGCCGCTCACCGTGCGAGGAGCGGTGTGCTGCCGGTAAACGCGAACGTTCTTAGCAGTCTGCGTTTCCTCGTTCGATGTCGCACGGTGATATATACACGAAACAAATTTTACTCGACTTTGTGCTTTGACGGTTAAAAGGTATAAACAAATCCATATATATATATATATATATATATATATATATATAGTAAGTAAAGTAAATAAAATGTAAGTTAATAAAACGTAAATTAATAAAACGTAATGTGTTGCATGATCTTCAAGGCATCGTTGTTATGAAAAAAGACTTGGTTGGTTATTTATTTTCGTACCACACGACGATATCGTTCGAATGATTCTCCTTAGTATGTTCTCACTGCTTACGAAGAGCAGGTATATCTACATATACGTATAGGTATATACGTATATGCATAATACATGCGCTCGCGAGTGCGCGCGCGCGCGTTTGTGGATCTACTGTACGGTAGTGTAAGTGTGCCAGTGAAAGAGAGCAGTGTTCGAATCGTGGCGTGAATTTTTAAACTTTCGACTAGACTTTGCTAAGGAAAGTAACGAGTGAACGAGAAGAGAAGAGAAGAGATAGGAATATTGAAGATTTACAGATAGGAGAGGCAGTGGTAACGACCTTGAAACGTCGGTGTGTCTACTGAGAACGACACGACGACGACGATGACAACGTGTACCGGCCATGGTGCGCTGCTGTAGATATTAGTTGGTGCGTCAGCGGTGAAAAATCGAGTATTATACGTTCGAAAGAAACAATCTAACACAGATCGAGAGAGAGAGAGAGATAACATATTGTGTTTCTCTTTCAGCGTGTTTCTCTCTTCATATAAGAGACGTGAGAAGGGTTGTAGTATGTGCGTCGTGGTAAGGGCCGAGTATAAACGAGAGTGGATCGTCGTTGCAGATACAAGTTCCGAGATGAAGGCGGGCACGTAGATCGATCAGGTATAGCGAGGACGACGTGATTCTTCAAGTAAGAAAGAAAGAAAGAGAGAGAGAGAAAGAAAGAAAGAGAGAAACAGATAGAGAAGAAAAGAAGAAGAAAAGAAAGAGACGAAGAGGAGAGAAAAGACCTTCAGCAGCACGAGACGTCTTCTTACTACTGCGTTCATCCAAGTGAAGCGACAAGGTAACGCTTACTTATTTACTTGCTTGCTTGCTTACGTTTATCTTTTTTTTTTCTTCTCTTTGTTTTCCGTTTATTTATTCGTGTTTTTATCTAGGTTTTCTTTAGTCTTTTTTTATCCTTCTCTTGATCTTTTTTTATTATATTATATGTGAATGGATGTGGATATATATATATATAGAGTGGATATTTTCTATCTTTTTATTTTCTACCTGTGTGAATCACTTTCTCCCTTCCTCTTTTCTTTATTTCCTTCATGCTCTTTTACTATTGTAACGGCGCTGTCGGACCTGTTGATATCTCTGCAATTACGAAAAGCGCGCGCTTTTCTATCAGCCAATAGGATTCAACTAGACGTCGGAGATTAGTCTTCGTTGTTCGACGTAACGTTTATTTGACAGGTTGACGCAAATTACGATTATAAACCATCACAATTTTATTCACGTGATTGTCCATTATTTTATTTATATTTTTAACAATAGGATAAACAAATATAAGAACTATAACAAATCATAATTATTTTGTATAAAAAATAACAGTAAATGTATTCTTATTAATACTGTCTTTTCATTTAACCACTTGTGTCAACAATAGAATATTATAAACAAATATTTCCGAAAAAATTTGAAACCAAATGTGAGTCAACTTGTTAAATGTTTATCGTTAAAGCTAATTATTAATTAAAGGCTTTTAATATAAAAAGGAAGCATGATGGTGATTTCTTATTATTGCTAATATGACATAACCTAAGGTTAAAAAGAAATTGTAAAAATATTTTAGCAAATATAAGCCAGCAAGTTTTTTTTTTGTTAAATTTTGAATTGTATCTTTTCGATGTGTCATCGTGAAATATTTTTTTATTTATTTGTTTCCTTCCGATGGGTGGAGACATTTAGATTGGAATATCCGTGATACGTCAACGTTTCCAAGAAATATCACGCACCTCTGATCCATAGGCGTAACCTCGTGAAATTCTTCCTTTGATCAATTCCGTTGTATGGTACGGGAGGAGGGGGGACGCTTGTGTAACTCTAGTATCGCGAATTGTGAAAGCATCAGAGAAAATATTTGTATTTTTCTTATTTACTAGTAGTCATTCTTATAGGATTGTTCATTTGTAAAGTAACGTAATTCGGTGGAAGTAACTTAAGAGTCTTAAGTTCTCTCCCTTTTATCTCTCTCTCTCTCTCTCTCTCTTTCTCTTTATCTTTCTTTGTCTCTCTTTTTTTTCTCTCTGTCTCTCTTCATATGTAGTAGCTATAGTACTCTCTTGAAGCACCATCAACGACGACAATAGGCTTGATCCAAAGGGAGAACAATACTCGAGATTGCGATTGAAACGAGCGACCAGGATCGGTGTATAGGAAGTTAGGACTTCTTTAAAAAGCATAACCCTCTTCATTGACTAACTTGTATATGTGCTTGGACGCATGCTGTTAGGGTACGCACGTATATATATACATATTTAAATAGGGTAAGAGATTCACCATGGAAGGTGGACTGACAATGAATATGACTAAAGTATTTTTTATATATGTTATAATATGTCTTTCGAAAAGTTGGCTTTCTACGTAATTATAAAATACGTGGATGGTTTGGAAAGTTTATAAATATTAATAATTTGGTCACGTTTACATAATTTCATTACGTTTAAATGTGTTGATATTTTAAGGAAAATTATCTAAAAGAAATATTTGTTTTCGTGCTATATTAAAATTAAATTTTCACATACATTTTAAAATTTTAGTTGTGCATGTTGATCGATATCATCACATAATCAGTATTTAATGATGATAATATATATACTATTTCTTTATTAATAATTACTTATCGCTAATATATCACGTAGTGTTTTCTACACACACACATACGAACACACACGCATTCATATAAATGCTTTGGTTGTAGAAATTATTACGAAAGGCTGTTTTTCAATTCGTAGAATTTTTATTTGATATAAGAAGACATTATGTATTTTCTTAAAGATAACAAGTCGTATGTTTATCAACGTTAATACATATGTAAGTATTAAAACATACGTAGATAGAGAATTCTCCGTAGATTGAGGAATATTCTTAGAAGAGGAAGTAAAGTGTCGATCGTACCAATGTCTTTTCCGTAGATAAGAATTTTTCAAGAACATCAAGCATGTTTTAAACAAGACGTTCAACAAATCGATAAATGAGCTAGAAATATCGATGATGATTCAATATATATATAGTACATTAATACATATATATACAAATGTCATCAGGGCCGTATTTATTATAAGGTGCATTAACTGAGACCACATTTTAAATCTTTGCATTTTCTTTTATTACTTTACACTATTTTTTTTCTTTTTTTAAATGAATAATCATGGAAATATTGATTTTTATTTTCAATGAATTTAAACGACAAAATAATTAATTAACTGAAAAAGATTTATTCTTTCCACGTTTCTTAAATGTAATGTGCAAAGGTGGATTGAAAAAGTTTGAGACTACGTCTACAAATAAAAGTGAGTCTGATCAAGACAGAAATTGTTTCTATTTTAGGTTCAAGACTTTTCAAATCTCCCACATAATCCGAAATATAAATACGAGCCTGAACACCATAAATGCATATTTATACACGTATTCGCGTTTAATTTGTAATAATAGGAGAAAGAAAAAGAAACTCAATCGGCGAAATTACTTACTTATATAAGTAAATTATAATGCAACAAGGAGAAACTATCGTCTTTCTATCTAGAAATTTCATATTAGATTTCGAGATAACATTTTTATATTAAAGTACACGATGTAAAGATTATATTAAATTGTACCGAAAGTTTCTTACATTTTCTTAATAAGTTTTATACGCACAATTTTCGTTTTTGTTATTTTATTGAACAACCACAAACAACACTACATTTTATTACTTTTAAAATAAAATATATTGTTCATGTAAGATTACTAATTGTAAGTAAAACAAAGAAACTGTTACTTGATCTGATACGTGGGTGGGTTGAAAAGTTTTGAAACTAACAATATTTAAATAATAAATATTTAGGAATAAACACACAATACTTTTTATCGGTCAAACACATTTATTAAAAAAAATAAGATTGTTCCTATTAAAGCTCAAAATTCGTCAATCCATATATGTATATATAATATATTAAAAAAGAAAATTCTATTGTTGTTATTTATACACCTGATGCACACATAATTCAACAATAATCCCAAGAATTTGAAACAATTCAGGACCTTGAACATTATACCCGTTCTTTCATCTATTATATTTGCGTACACCGACCAAGCCATTCTCTAATTCTCTTTCTCGCTCTCTCCCTTTTTAAAGAAGAGGAAAAATAAAAAAGAATTTTAAAAGGTCTTTTCACGCTCGTATAATACCGACAAGTTTCACCGCTGATGCTCAAACTATGTGTGTGCGTGTATATATATTATATATATGTATGCGTTACATACTTATAGCTATAGAACTAGCAAAAGAAAAGAAAAGAGACGAAGATAATAAAAAATAGGTGGAAAAGTTACAACAAAGTATTATACATATTTATTCACATACATTCATGTACATAACATAAATACAAATTACACTACTGGCCAAAAGTTTAGAATAATTCGCTAATTTTTATAAAAATCGAACACAAACCGATAAATTTAGAAATATTAATAATATTAAATAACTTTTAATTCAACGTTATTACTGGTCAAGGATGTTAAAAGAAATGTACTTTAGTATAAACAATCGAAAATATTAGTAAAATACATTAGAATGTTTAATTTATCTTAATTGATTGTTAATTAATTGAAGGAAATGCATATTGTAGTTTAAAAACACAGCGTATATAATTGACGTACCTTACTCATCGAAATCCCACGTTAGACTGGCTCATTGTCACCTATGAAAGTTCTTTTATTGATTATTGTACATATGACTTTCAGAAGATTACATATGCATATATATATATATATAACGAAAACAATATGCGTAAGTAAATAAAATTTATTCTTCCGAAGTCATATAAACAACTAGAATTTTAATTGTCTTTCACAGAGGACAACGAGCCAGTCTAACGGGGGATTTCAAAGAGAACGGTACGTCGAACTTATATTCCATGCTTCTAAATTACAATATACATTTCCTTCGTTTAATTAACAATTAATCAAGATAAATTAAAGCCTCTAATGTATTCTACTAATATTTTCGATTGTTTAAACTAAAATACATTTCATTTTAACGTTCCTGACTAGTTATAACTTAGAGTTGAGAATTATTTCAAATAATTGTATTATTTTATTATCTTTGTATTATTTTTTTGTTAATGGATATGTAAACTGATTCTAGTACATACACAGCACATACACCACACTAACACTAGAACCTTCAGTAATTTTGTCGTCTGAGAAGTTTTGCTTAAAAAAAATTCATATAATATTCTACTCATCATTATTTGTTACCAAATAAATTTCAGTTTTTGCGTTTCATTGCAGTCTTAAAGGCACACAATTTGTTTCTTCGAATTATTCTGCTTTTTTAAATTTACGTTGGAATTCCGAACTTTTGGTTGGTAGTGTAGAGGTATACGTAAGATTGAAGTATTAAAATGGTATCATTCACGTGTCTTTTACTTACCGGTTTATCTTTACCCAGGTTGTCTGTGTACCTCAGTCCTCCCTTCCTCCTTCTATTTTTCTTCTTTCCTCTCACTTTTAACCGTAAGACATAATCGTGGGTCATCGTCATCATCATCCTCGGCCGTAGACGTGGTCTCTTTGAAGATTCTCTAAGCTCAATGGGTTCTTTCGTTTAATAATAAAACGCTTCCCCTGTTATGCCGCTTTTCATGGAACGTCGTGTGCACACCCAAAGAACAGCTTATTCGTCTACCTGGCTCGGCTTCATTCGCGAGTTATTCCTTTTTCATTTTCTTTTCTTCTACTTTTTTTTCTGTTTTTCTTTTTTCTTTTTTTGTTTTGTTTTGTTTTTTTTTCTTTTTTGTATTTTTTTCTCTC